ACAGTACAATATTAGCAGACAAAGAAGCAAATAAAGAATTCAACAAACGGATTAATAACACCTATACTTGAAATTTTCTTATTCATATATTGCAAATTCTTATGTATGCACGTCAAAATGCCAGGATCTTTGATAAAATCGGATAGGATCACTTCATCACATAAGGAATTTAACAAGAGGAGCAAAAAATCCGTAAAAGGTACTATATTGCAAGGTAAATATATAAAGATTTATGTTTGTTTCATTGCTTCACTGCCATTTTTTATTTTAATAGATCATATTATGCGGATTTAGTTTACTGTATCTTACTGCAGCTATATTTATTCATATCAGTTTGGATGACTTACCTGATTGCAGTTCAATTTGCCATAACACAGTTGTGTAATGTTTTCTGTGTTCATTGTTTCCTATGTTCATCCCTTTGTTTGATCATTCTCTGTATTTAGTACATGCATTTTGTACAGAAACATAAATATAAATAAATATTGAAACATAAAATTACTAATAGCTTTATGTATGTTTTATATTTATTTTATCAATGTAGATGAAAATTTATTGAAAATATTATGCATCAGATAAGAAGTTTACCTTTTTTTTTGGGTATAGAGTTGCAGTTTCATAGTTTGGTATGCTCGGCCAGTGAAGGAAAAATATATTTTCTTGCATGAATCTCCAATGTTTGCATTCTGTACATTAAATAATAGTGAACTGTATGTTAACACAATGTACAGTTTTTTTAATAAATAAACTTCAGTTCAAATATTTACGAACCTTAATCAGACTCCGATATATTTCTTTCAAATCAGTTTGTAAGTGGGTCGGACGGCCGATCAAACTACGGATTTTGTTTTTATCCCTCGCAATTCAACATCAGATTGTAAGATTAAATTGGAATTCGAACTTAATAAATAACTAACAGTATATTATGAAATCGGTTATTACATTGATTCTTAGATTTATTGTTGATTGTAACATCTAAATTCAAAATACAAAGTTTAGATCATGTAAAGAAAGGAAAACACACACTGACACATAAAAAAATAAAGGCTCCGTTCGAATTAGTGAAATTACAAGCTTACACAGATTACAAAATGAGATTTATGGTAGATTCGAAAGAAATGAACGCATGTCTCAGTCAAAATTAGAAAAAATATTAAGGTTACAGATATCTAAAGAAATGTACCCATGTCAAATATATACGAACCTTTAGTGGACGCCGATCGATTTTTTTATCCACAGCTGGGACTTGAACGGGATGGCCTCTCTAACTCCACATATTGTTTTTCACCTTTTGATTCAACAATAGATTGGTCTACCTCATATTGACAGTCTTTATCCTTCGGTTTCGCCGTCAAATTCCTCTTCTAATCGACTGATGTGCTCAAACAAAGAATAAAAATCAAAATATGATTAGAATATGCATGGCGAAGAAAACATACACTGAGAAATCACATAATATAAAGTCTGAATAAAGAAAATAGTAAAATTTTTATTATCTTAGACAGATCTGAAAAGGAAAATAGAATATATGATAGATCTATATACGAAAATTTGAATTAATAATCGATTAAACAAAAAATGAACAAAAAAAATATACAAACCTTCGCCGATCGTTTTCGTGATCCTCGATACAAAAATAGTAAGAAATAAGAAATGAGAAGATCGAAAAATTCCAATCGTTCGTCACACTTAGATCTTCTATAATTTCGTTATTTGAAAGTGAAATTATAAAAATTTGTGGGCTCTTTGATGAATTTTTTGTTCGAAATCGGACATAAATCCGAAATTTTTGAGAGAGAGGCGTCGAAGAAGTCTGCTTAATCGGTGTGGTAGAATGAAATGAAACCCTACAGTTCAACAGATTTCTTTTTATATCCTTATCTAATAAATGCATGCCGTCCGATCCTTATGGATAAAAGGTAACCGTTGGATATTTTAGCTAAGGGAAACTGGGCTAATGAAGTGGGCTGTGATTTTGGACTTTTGATACAAACTAAAAATAAATGTGATATAACAGTGCTTTTTTTTGGCAAAATTGGGCTGATTAATCGGGCTTATTGAAAGGCATTGATATTCAACCCAACCTTTTCATTATTTGTGTTGATTTATTTGTTTTATTAGGGTGGTATGTTACTACAATTTTGTGTTTTAACAAACAATCCCAATATTTTAACAACTTTGGATACTTTGTACAATTTATATATGTTGACTATTTTGTTGATCCAGAATATTTAAATATCCCATTATTAATTATGTATTTTTTAAAATATCGAGTATACAAATAAATTGAAAATAATATTGCAATGATGTTATTTTGACTAGGGTCTATAAATTCTGATATTTGCTCGGGGTCAACTGTTACTAAACGTCAGTTGACTATTGGATCGGGCAGTTCATCAAAGGCTTCAAATCATATGTCGTTCTCTGATATTTCAAATGGTATTACATTATATATATATATATATATATATACGTTAATATATTCTCACCTTCTACTCTGATATTTTACTGTTTACTCTTATGTTTTTATTTATATAATTAGGCCAGCAAACGTTTCGTGAAAAAAGGTCGAATAATTCCAATATTATTGGATCGGAAAGCATCGTCATAGTCTGTAATGACGATGACGTGTCGCCAAATCAGACCCAAAACGTTTACGAAGAACAAAGGTCCGCTTGTGGAGTGGAACGTTCTATTCCCTGTACAAAGAAGTGTTTACTAATTTATGAAATTTTTAATTTGTTTTTTTCTATTTTACATTTGTTACATATCTACAAAGTGCATTACATTTAATGTTAACTAGTACAGTACCCGTGCGATGCACGGGATGGTATATTTTCCTGAAATGTTTAACGTGTGAAATATTAAAAATAATATAATTTATATATATGTAATAAAAATAAATGGATTGCAAAGAAGGAAAAAAAATATAAATTATTGAATACTTTCTTTGTGAAGTAAAATTTGTGAAGGTTTGGTATATTTGATTATGAATAGAAAAGTATGAAATACTACCTGCGGACCGTTGAGATAGATGAGAAGATTTACTTAGAATATATAGAATAAATATTGAGATAATGATTTACCTTTTACCTAGTATAGATAAAATAAATATTGACATGATGTGGGAAAATTATGACGAATTATGACATAAATTCGTTTAGAAAATATTCAAAAATTAGATTTATTTTTTATTTTTTTAAATCTTTACAGTAATTCGTACGTTCCTTTTCATACGCTTAATTTATCAATTTTACACATACAAATCAAAATTAATGCAACTCGAAATATTATATAACAAATAAAATGAGATTTTTATCTAACATTTAGTATATTGCCGGAAAATTTTTTATAAATCTTATTCTCTTTTTATGCACATAGATATTAAAGAATGAGTAAAAAAATATCTAAATATGTTTAAAAGTATCTAATATTATATGTGTTAACAGTATTACAATCAAAAGACATTAAGAATACGCAGACTATTATATAACATATGTGAATGTATTAAAATATTTTATATTATTATTGAAAAATGTGAAATTACCTCAATTTTGTCTAGACTATTTTATAAGAAAAATATATATACTTAAAGTTAGCACACACATATATATATCCTTAAAATTTGCCCAACTAACATGTTTAAAAGTATATAAAATTTTATATATAAAATACGTTTAAAGTTTACATATTTTACAAAAATTAGACTGCTCTCAGTTTATATAAAGTTTGTTGCTCTCATATTCGGATAATGTATTATGCATTTAATGAAAGCACCTACGATACAAATTTATAAATATTAATTAAAATAATTTTCTAAATTATATAAAATTGAAATAACAAAGGTAAATATTACCTGTTCATCATGAAAATGCGTTACAACTCTCCTGTTCGTGATGGTTTCAATAATGCTTTGTTATAAATATTAATTAAAATAATTTTCTAAATTATATAAAATTGAAATAACAAAGGTAAATATTACCTGTTCATCATGAAAATGCGTTACAACTCTCCTGTTCGTGATGGTTTCAATGATGCGGACTGCTCTCTCCCGTTCGTGATGGGTTTCAATAATGCGGACTGCTCTCAGACGCAAAAAAGGTTTGTTATAAATATTAATTAAAATAATTTTCTAAATTATATAAAATTGAAATAAAAAAGGTAAATATTACCTGTTCATCGTGAAAATGCGTTATAGCTCTCCCGTTCGTGATGGGTTTCAATAATGCGGACTGCTCTCAGACGCAAAAAAAGGTTTGTTTCTTTTGTTAACGTACCCAGTCTAGAAGCATTATATATCAAGTTTACCCCAGCCTGGAAGCATTATATTGTATATGCCATGAAAAATTATTCTCTGTATTTTTTTTTTCTCTGAACTCGTGAATGATGAGTTGTAATGGTGGTAGTGAATATCCTTTTATACAATTTTTTATTAACAAAAGTGATAAGATAATTATGGATTGTATTTGGATAGATTTTAAATACCATGATTTTTGGGATGCAACAACAAAATATGCAATCACATGTATATATCTTATCACGTTAAAGGTATATCCATCCCTAAAAAGCAGGAAAAAAAAAACATATATTTTGAAAGGATTTTTAAATTAGTTTCTACAAATGGAAAGTCAATGGGGTTGTTGACCAATTTTTTAAAAGTTTCCACAAATGATTTATTGACCTCTCTTTTTCAATATATATAGATAATATAATTTATATATATGTAATAAAAATAAATGGATTGCAAAGAAGGAAAAAAAATATAAATTATTGAACACTTTCTTTGTGAAGTAAAATTTGTGAAGGTTTGGTATATTTGATTATGAATAGAAAAGTATGAAATACTACCTGCGGACCGTTGAGATAGATGAGAAGATTTACTTAGAATATATAGAATAAATATTGAGATAATGATTTACCTTTTACCTAGTATAGATAAAATAAATATTGACATGATGTGGGAAAATTATGACGAATTATGACATAAATTCGTTTAGAAAATATTCAAAAATTAGATTTATTTTTTATTTTTTAAATCTTTACAGTAATTCGTACGTTCCTTTTCATACGCTTAATTTATCAATTTTACACATACAAATCAAAATTAATGCAACTCGAAATATTATATAACAAATAAAATGAGATTTTTATCTAACATTTAGTATATTGCCGGAAAATTGTTTATAAATCTTATTCTCTTTTTATGCACATAGATATTAAAGAATGAGTAAAAAAAATATCTAAATATGTTTAAAAGTATCTAATATTATATGTGTTAACAGTGTTACAACCAAAAGACATTAAGAATACGCAGACTATTATATAACATATGTGAAAGTATTAAAATATTTTATATTATTATTGAAAAATGTGAAATTACCTCAATTTTGTCTAGACTATTTTATAAGAAAAATATATATACTTAAAGTTAGCACACACATATATATATATCCTTAAAATTTGCCCAACTAACATGTTTAAAAGTATATAAAATTTTATATATAAAATACGTTTAAAGTTTACATATTTTACAAAAATTAGACTGCTCTCAGTTTATATAAAGTTTGTTGCTCTCATATTCGGATAATGTATTATGCATTTAATGAAAGCACTTTTCTAAATTATATAAAATTGAAATAACAAAGGTAAATATTACCTGTTCATCGTGAAAATGCGTTACAGCTCTCCCGTTCGTGATGGGTTTCAATAATGCGGACTGCTCTCAGACACAAAAAAGGTTTGTTATAAATATTAATTAAAATAATTTTCTAAATTATATGAAATTGAAATAACAAAGGTAAATATTACCTGTTCATCATGAAAATGCGTTACAGCTCTCCCGTTCGTGATGGGTTTCAATAATGCGGACTGCTCTCAGACGCAAAAAAGGTTTGTTATAAATATTAATTAAAATAATTTTCTAAATTATATAAAATTGAAATAACAAAGGTAAATATTACCTGTTCATCATGAAAATGCATTACAGCTCTCCTGATCGTGATGGGTTTCAATAATGCCGACTGCTCTCCCGTTCGTGATGGGTTTCAATAATGCGGACTGCTATCAGACGCAAAAAATGTTTGTTATAAATATTAATTAAAATAATTTTCTAAATTATATAAAATTGAAATAACAAAGGTAAATATTACCTGTTCAAAAGGTTTATTATAAATATTAATTAAAATAATTTTCTAAATTATATAAAATTGAAATAACAAAGGTAAATATTACCTGTTCATCATGTAAATGCGTTATAGCTCTCCCGTGGGTTTCAATAATGCGGACTGCTCTCAGACGAAAAAAAAGTTTGTTTCTTTTGTTAACGTACCCCAGTCTGGAAGCATTATATATCAAGTGTACCCCAGCCTGCTCGTGATGAGTTTCAATAATGCGGACTGCTCTCAGACGCAAAAAAGGTTTGTTATAAATATTAATTAAAATAATTTTCTAAATTATATAAAATTGAAATAACAAAGGTAAATATTACCTGTTCATCATGAAAATGCGTTACAACTCTCCTGTTCGTGATGGTTTCAATAATGCTTTGTTATAAATATTAATTAAAATAATTTTCTAAATTATATAAAATTGTAATAACAAAGGTAAATATTACCTGTTCATCATAAAAATGCGTTACAACTCTCCTGTTCGTGATGGTTTCAATAATGCGGACTGCTCTCAGACGCAAAAAAGGTTTGTTATAAATATTAATTAAAATAATTTTCTAAATTATATAAAATTGAAATAAAAAAGGTAAATATTACCTGTTCATCATGAAAATGCGTTATAGCTCTCCCGTTCGTGATGGGTTTCAATAATGCGGACTGCTCTCAGACGCAAAAAAAAAAGGTTTGTTTCTTTTGTTAACGTACCCAGTCTGGAAGCATTATATATCAAGTTTACCCCAGCCTGGAAGCATTATATTGTATATGCGATGAAAAATTATTCTCTCTATTTTTTTTTCTCTGAACTCGTGAATGATGAGTTGTAATTGTGGTAGTGAATATCCTTTTATACAATTTTTTATTAACAAAAGTGATAAGATAATTATGGATTGTATTTGGATAGATTTTAAATACCATGATTTTTGGGATGCAACAACAAAATATGCAATCACATGTATATATCTTATCACGTTAAATGTATATCCATCCCTAAAAAACAGGAAAAAAAAAAACCATATATTTTGAAAGGATTTTTAAATTAGTTTCTACAAATGGAAAGTCAATGGGGATGTTGACCAATTTTGTAAAAATTTCCACAAAATGATTTATTGACCTCTCTTTTTAAATATATATAGATATTTAAAAAGTTTCAATAAAATATACCAGTCCGTGCATCGCACGGGTCAGTACTAGTTGGTAGTTAAGTGACGGTTCCACAATTTGAATTGGAATAAAACTGTTCATATACCCGGCTGTTCAATTCAGAAAATTAGTAAATTGTGAAATAAACATAAAAAAGGGACAAAAAAATTGAAGAATTTGGGCTACTTGGAGGATACGACCACAATGCATATTGTTATGAACAGAAGAACAGCAAGGTCATTCAACCAAGAAATTTGATTCGAAAGGAGTTGGTACTCTGTTTTTTTTTAGTGATTTATTTGTTTTTTGTTTCCCTTTAGTGAGGAACACAGAAACAAGTTTAGCATAAGGTAGAAATTTGAGCATTAAGTTTATGTAGGAATCCATAAACTGATTTATTTGATTAACATTTTATGAAAGATTTTTTTCAGTAGTTGTTGTTACTCAACTAATTCGTTGCATTAGTAGTATATTTAGTGTCATGTTTTGGATAATAATTAAAATCTTTTTTTTTGTGCTAATTTGTTAGGTTTGAAAGTGCTAAAAAATAGTAACCTGTGTTGGAGAATATGGCATTACAACATGGGGTGAGCAAACATAAACATTCAGTGATTAGTTAAAAGTTTGATTTTTTTGATCAAGTTATTAGTTTGAACACAATTAATTGTATATTGATATGGCAATAATTTGTATGTTTGTACCTTAGAAGCCAGGTATTACTAAATCATATAATGTATGTTGATCTTAAAAATTAAATATTCAACAACAACAACAACAACAACATAGCCTTTTAGTCTCAAGCAAGTTGGGATAGGCTAGAGATAAAACCCAAGAGAACCAATGGTAAGAGAAACACAAAAAGGGCTCAAAACACAAGAGATTAGAGCAAAAGAGAGAGGAACAAAAGTCACGGTTCTGACACGTTGATTGCTAGCCCCCAAGCGCTCCTATCCACAAAAAAAATTAAATATCCAGTTGGACATAAATACTTGAAGGTAATGCTTGTAGAACAAATTATAACATAGTTGTGGGGGTAATGTACATATGCATAATGCTTACTTGTTATTGTTGTAAGAGTGAATAATATAGTAATGTTTCGGGTTAACTATTTGTTCAGTACTGAATTTCTTTGTTTGAAGAGATTTGTATTTCAAAGTTTTCTATTAACATGGTTAATATGTTATTAATGAAAATGTAATGAAGGTAACAGTATGTGTACAGGTTTTTTAACAAGTCTTAGTGTAAAAGGAAAAAAAAGCATTGAAATTGTAAGCATGAGGAAAATGTTGAGAAACAATTAGGAAACAGATGAAAGTAGCAGAAATTCTATGTCAAACGACAAGAATGTGAATGGATTAAATGCAATGGTTAGGTGTGTTGAACAAACTTCAAAAGTTGATCAGAAGTTGAATTATGAGAATCAGAGAGGGGCTGAAAATGTCCGAAGTCATGTCCCCAGCAGAGAGTTTATGATGAAGAACAGAGCGATGGAAAAGAATGAAAAAAATGAGACTTTAGATGATTCTTCAGATAGTGATGGTATAGAAAGTGACTGTAGAAATAGTGATGGGGAAGAAGAAATATATCCAAATTTAAAAATCAGAACCTGTCCGTAGATACTGTTTAACACTATACAGAAAATGAATGTAGCTCAGATAAGGGGAATGAGTGAAATTGGTTTTGGCAATATGTTGTTGCTTAACATTATTGAGTTGCCAATGAAGCTTGGATACTGGGTACATGACAGTTTCGACCCGAAGAGCTGTGAAATCAGGTAACATAGTAAGTACGTCCACATTGGACCTGAAGATGTGTTATTGACCCTTGGTTTTCCAAACGGGCGACAAACAATTCAAAAGAAAAAGAAAAATGAAAAGTGTCAATTATTAGAAGAGTGGCGATCCTTTTTTTGTAAGCCAAATACCAAAATTCTACCAAGTGATGTCGCAGAAGGTGTACTTAATGAAAATGATGGTGGTGTTTGGTTTAAACGACATTTCTTGGTTCTTTTGACAGCATGTTTGATAGAAACTACCTGGAATGGATATGTTTCACCCCAAATAATGTCCTACTTCAATGATGTTGATAGAATACAAGGGTTGGATTGGGGTGATTATGTGATGAGGTGTCTAATTGACTACAAAATGAGGTGGAAAAAAAAAAAGTTACTTCTTCAAAGGGCCAATACTGTTCTTAATGGTGAGTTGCTTCTGTTTGAAACTCTTCAATGATGTTGATAGAATACAAGGGTTGGATCGGGGTGATTATGTGATGAGGTGTCTAATTGACCACAGAATGAGGTGGGAAAAAAAAAACAAAAGTTACTTCTTCAAAGGGCCAATACTGTTCTTAAGGTGAGTTGCTTCTGTTTGAAACTTTCGAATGCATGATGTATTAAACATGTACATAATTGATAGTTTTTAACAAAGCAAATATTGTACTATTTTTTTACTAATGTTCTGTCTGATAAATGATGTATCCACAGTTTTTTTATGTTGATAGAGTTGTTCTTTATCAAAGGACACAACCTAGATGTATACCATCTATAAGAGGGTGGACATACTCATTGCTAAGGAAAAGGCAGAAAGAAGAAATCCAAGCTGGTGGTTTTGGTGCTGGTTATCCATATCAATCTCCAAGTGGTTATTCAACTATAGATTTAGACTTTGCTGAAACAATGGTTGAACTTATGCCAATTATACAAGGGGTAGCAGAAAAAATTGTACAACATTTACAGTTGCAGAAAATGGCTAAAATTAGGAGAACCTTGGAGTGTGGAAGACCACGTTGGAAACCTTGAATGAACCACCTGAAGGGGCTCAAATTGTAGAACCCACGTTGCAAGCCTCATATTAACCACCTAAAGCGAATGAAGTTGTAAGCATGCAAACAGATGATGATTTTTGGGCTGATCCAATAAACATATCTGAAATAGAAGAAATTGAAAATGCTTCGTTGAGGAAAAATAAGTTCCCCATATGTGAAGATGATTGTCCTAGCTTTAGCTTAGGAATTGGATTAACACAAGATGAATTGCCCGATTTAAGCTTAGTATCTTATACCTCCACACTGAATGACTCATTGAAGATGCTAGATGAGCAACCGCAGAGCAAACACAAGGAGCAACAAGTAAGCATTTTATTAGCTATATATTTATACAATAATGAGTAATTTGTCAGTACAACATTAATTATTTAATAATAACTTAAACAGGTGGCTGGAAAAAGAGTGTTGGAGGGACTGATAAGTAGGCAAAATGAGGTACCCATTGCATCAGTTAGAGTAAATAGTAAAGAGAGCCTTAATTATATTGAGCATGCTCATGCAAATGTCTTAAAGTTGAAGTTCCGATTCTGAACCTTATGTTGCTAACGTTATTTTAATTATCTTATTTTAAATTTTGTAATTAAAGCTTAGTTTTTTTTAACCATGAGGTTTGAAATAGGTAACTTCTTAATTTAGGCAAGTCGAAATGATGCCAATCAGCAATGCTACAGAATTTCTAATTATGGTACCAAGCATAAAGCCACAACTGTCATCAACATACGAGAGAGAGGTTGGCACAAAAAAATGAAAATTTCACATATTATCGGATTAATTATTCTTATAGCTACAAGTAATATTGAACATAAAAATATAGAATACATAAGCTGTTAAAAGACAACAACATTAGAATATAATTTCTTAAGTAACTAATATAAATGTATTTACGTCATTATCACTGTACATAGTTTTAGAGAGCAATAAGAGCTAATAGTTTCTTTAATTATTTATTTTTTTCAATGCTTTAAGGTGATTATCAATGGCAAAGGTAAGGTGCCCACAAAAACAAACGAGGCAGATGCTCCAATGGTGAAGGTACATTTATGACACTGTTGGATTTAATACGTTTCGTTACACCAAAGGTTCATAGCTATGCATAAAAATAATATATTTTCACAGTGATTTCATTATTTTTGTAAATAATGAATATTTCAATGAGTAGATTAAGAGCTTTATATTAGATAAAATAAGAACTCGTATAATAAATGTTTTTCTTAAAAACATAAAATTAATTCATAGTTGTATAACCATACATGATACATAGAGTAAAGGGATTATAAAGCAAGCACATCCAATATTGCAGCACACCGGATTGAGAGGACAAGCTATAAAGGTAATGAAGTGAAAAATTTACATTTTCTTTTTGTGCAACACCTAATTATACGGATTGTAAATTCTTATCAGAGGGTCAGGTTTGGTAGCTCAACATATAGGGATAAGGATAGTCAAGTACAGCAACAATACTGAAGGAGTTAAAAGAGTTCACGTATAAAGGAGTACAGAAAAAGGTATAGCATATTAACAATATTTGTATGATACAAAATATAACTAATATAAAGGTTTACATATTTCTTTTATTTTTTTAAATTAGCAGGAAACTCTTGTTCCACCAACACATTTTGAGAAGAGAAGATATCCTGCAAATAGTAACATGTTGGAAAAATTGTCCCCCCCTTATGGCACAAGAGTGATTGCATTAACAGAAAGTTTAAACAAGTTCGAGAGAGATCTATGTCACTGGATAATGTACAATTCTCAAGTAAATATGTATGTCCTTATTTTTAAGTGCATTCTCTTAAAGTTAAATGTTGATCTTCTTTTTTTTTTGAAAAAAAACTAATATAATAAAACTAAAAATTATTGGAACTTATTTTTAGGGATGACGTGGTGTTTTCTAATGGCCAAATAGAAGTCCAGAAGGGTGAATTGATAACATTGCGGCCGTCGAAGTATATATGCAGCTCAATAATAGACGTTTGGAGCATAGTGTTGAACCATATAGAATCAGAATGCTCACCAAACTCACCACTCAGATTCTTTGCTTCGACAAAAACATGTGTAAGTGATACAATTAAAGGTAACAATCACTTACACAGATGAAAAAATAACCATCATTCTAATGTAACATGAAGTTTTCATTGTTAGCCCCCAAGTCAGTTGGTCACCTCGAAGAAGGTGCGGACAATTTCTTGAATGTTTAGAAGAGCAAATTTCAAAAGCAAGAATACATTTGTCAAGCATCAAAATGGTGAATAGTGAATAGTAAATAAAAAAAGTGACGTTACTTATAAAAATATTATCACAGTTTAACATAATTTTAAAATGTGTTTGTCACAGTTCTTTTTCCCCATTCATCACGCCGAACAATACTCCGTTGTGTGTTTTGACATTAAAAAAGCATCAGTAAGCCTATTTGACAGCTCCACTACAGCATTGGACAATTCACTTGATGTCAAATACAATGGCATTCCAATGGCACTTGTAAGAATAATTAATATAAATGACCAATTTTTGATACATACTTAAAATTAACTCACAGAATATGCCTTTATTTTAAAATGCAGGGCAGAATGTTATCTCAATATTTGGAACATTGTGGCTTAGTAGAGGAAGCGGCAGTGAAAAGAAACATTAAAGTTGAAAGGATTAAGATGTCATGGGAGAAGAAACGCACAAGAAAGACATCGGGATATGTATGATGCGACTCATGGAAACACATACAAGCCGTGTGGTAGACAATTGTAAGCTTTCTTCAAAAAAGAACTGTCAAACACAGCTGAAGTTTTTGAGAGGAAAATATTGTGCTGCCATCCTAGCAGCTGAAAATAATATGCTCAAGAATTTGAAGATGTTTGCTGCAAACATGCACTACCAATTGTCATTTGAGGATAGTTCAGTCGATGTAGTCCCACCGTGGATGAATGAAATCAGTGTAGAAGATGAATAATAGTTGTTTACTGTTGTTGGTTTTAAACAATGGATGATAGTTATGGTTGTGATAATATAATATATGTTTTCATATTGTGTGACATTTTAAACTTTATTGAAAGAGTTGTATATTCTGTGCACCATGTGAAATTATTATCTTTATCATATCATATTTGTTTTCATGCTCTCACATATTATTTTACTATTGTATGAGATGTAAACTAGGAATATTTTTTTTTAATATGCCCTGAAGATGTTGAATACAAAAGTTACAAACAGATTACTATTGCACACATATTTATAAAATATAGATAATTGATTTTTAAACATTCTCAATAAAAGCATTTGAGTTTAATAGTAGGAACAAAATTTCGGAAAATAAATATTAAAAAATGCATGGAAAAGTGTACGGAAATCCTTAATTCTCCAAGAAAATAAAGCAACATTTTACTAAAAGCAATAAATTATAGCCACCATGTAGATAAACATGGTTATATTAAGATGCTAAAAACTGAGACACAAAATTAATGTCATAAGAAACAGAAAAAAATAATACAACATAGTATTCCTCAGTAATTAAGAAGAATGGAGGCTAAAATCTATGATTTCACACAATTTCTTGCATCATGATTCGTTTTTTGATGACACTTACTACATTTTCTCAAAGGCTTATTGCTTTTTTCAATCGCCTTTTCTTTCCTTGATTTCAATCGACTACCACTCCCTTTGGTTTTAACAGGAAGCGGTGGTAATGCCTGTACTTTTTGTGGAACAGACCCTCCATAGCAATCCTCAAACAACTTTTTCTTGGACATAATTGATGAAGACTGGTCCACACCAGAGGTAAATATATGTCTCTGATTCTTAAGAGAATGTAGCAAACTTGTCATGAAATCATTATTCCCTTCAGTTAACCCAATACAAGAATAGAACTCCGAGAACAATTGATTCATAATTGACTTCCGCTCTTCAATCATAGCACACTGATCAATAATCTGACCATGAACCTCAAATATAGGCTTCAACAATGCATATTTTGTCCACCTAGAAACCAAATATTTTTCCGGGATTGATTGGAGGTTCAAATCTTTAAACACGTAGAAAACATGGCAGCATAGTAATCCAACCCTCACAAATTTCTTGCAACTACAAGTTGTTGTGTTTTGTGATTTGTCATAAACAACTTTACAGGCACCATAAGCAACGTCTTCGATTTCATAGAACGATGATCAGGATCATATACAAGAGTCAATATTCGGCATTCAAAGCATGCTGCTACAATATCATTCTATATCTCCTCAAAAATCTTCAAAGTATACATGTTGTAGCACAAATTGTTATATTTTACCGAGTACCGAATCAAGGATTCGTTTCTCGGGTCGATCTCTCGAGGAAGGCGGTTCGGAATTTAACTTCGGTATTGATTTCACACAAAAAGAAAATAAAAACCTAAACACTCTAATCAGAAATGAGGAATATATTATCAACTAAGAAATCAACAGCAAACAAAAACGAACCTAAAGTACGAACTAGAAAGCAATAAAGAAGCTAGGGAATCGGGGATAAGTTATTCAAGTTCTAAGCAAAACCGGGCAATCAATTGTTCGGTTCGAGATTGATACTCTTGCTTAGACATCTAGCGGTTCGCTCCCAATAACTCTTCGTAACAAGGGATTGAACATAGACGAGCTAGCTCGAGCATACAACACATGTCAATTATCCCAGTCTCAATAACTTTTTGTAACAAGAGACGGGTCATCAGCAAGTACGTATTTCAATCCAAAACCTATAGACTATTCAGTCACGAAATCATCTATATCATGCGAGCCTAGGTCTACGACTTCTCCCCTTTCGGTTCTAAAAGTCGCTAATTCAATTAGTAGGTGTTCAATCAACTAATCATATAGAATCAACAAACCCTAACTCGACAAATTAACATTCAATTGATACCAATTGCAAGATCGAAGTGTCACCCTTCGATTATATCAAGTTATCAAGCAAGAATTAATTAACCCTAATTAAAGCAACTCGCACAAGCATGAACAGATTAAAGCCCAATAATAATGAAATTAATCAAGAACAATCATCCCCTATCCCTAGCAGAAAGAAATTAGCTACGTAAAATAAATTCAACACAATAATTCATTTCTCCCAATTCAACCATTCTTCATGAATTAAACAAGAGAGAAAAGAAACTTACAGATAATCTCAAATCCCAGTGTTGAATCTAAATTACAAGCTTAATCCCTTGATAAAGAAGAAGAAAAATGGAAGAAAATGATGGAAAGAAGAAGAAAATGATGAAGAAGAAAGGAAAAGAAAAGGAAAATGAGTGTTCTGTGGTTTTTCCCGACCCTAGGGTTTTCAC